CCCCCCCCAGTTTCTATACTGAGCATGACGTCACATGGTATGGAATAGCCCTTTGGTCAGTTTGGATCAACTATTCTGGCTGTGCCCCTTCCCAGTTTCTTGTGCACCTGGCAGAGCATGGGAAGCTGAAAAAGTCCTTGACTAGCATAAGCAGTACTCAGCAACAACTAAAAACATCAGCGTGTTATCAACATTCTTCTCCTACTAAATCCAAAACACAGCGCTGTGCCTGCTGCTAGGAAGAAAATTAACTCTATCCCAGCCGAAACCAGGACAATAACATAAGCCATAAAATTTAATCTAGCTATTTCTGCACTGAGCCCTTAGTATACTAAAGCAAAATTTCCAGAGAGTTATCCAGTTATGATCTGCAGACTTTAAGGAGTGAAGAACCTATTCCCACCCTTGAGAGTTTGTTCCAATGGTTAATCAACTCTTCTATTAGAAACTGCATTTGGTTTTAATTTCTAGCTCTTCATTCTTCATTAGAACTTTCACTTTTAGGAATTCATCAATATTCAGTATTTTCCATTGGTGAATGTACTTACAGATCAAACTGTAGTAATTTATTTATTTTTTAAAATACATCCAATCTATGAGTCCTTCTTAGCTATCAGTTTCAGATAAATTGGGAATCTCAGGCCTATTTCTTATAGATAATACTACACACTACATAAATTACATCACAATAGTTGGTCTGCTGGCTAAAATTCTGGAGGACCACTGAGAGAATAATTTCTGACTTCTATAGGTCCTTCCTCTAGAGAACAGGCACATAAGCTTTGTGTTAGGGAAAAAAATAAAAGACTCATGTCGTGCTCAGTTTGCTCCTTTTATGGTTGACAGAAGACTTGGTAGTTCTTGCTCCTGAGAATCTGCTTCCTCCTATTTGCACTAAGGTCACACAGACCTGCCTTATAAATATTTTTAAAAATCATATCAATCATGGCAAATATATTTTTCACTCATCCTTTTCTAGTGGCTTATTAACAGTGGAAAAAAAAGCTTAACAACTCACTTCCCATTTAAAATAAATAGAGCAAGCCTGGCCACTGATAAATGGACAAGTGGAAATTCTAACAGATAAACATCTTGCATTTGAGCAAACACTACACATTTAAGAACCATCTGATAAATTAGAATTGAGTTAAAAGGAAAAATATAGCTATCTATAATCTAGTACGCCACTGGGGAAAAAATTACTGAAAATTATTTCCTTGATTCTGATGATTCCTGCACTATTTTAAAATACTGTCCTTTTTCTGTTGAAGTCAATGTCATCAGCCTATAAGCTTTGTCCTTTTACAGGAATGCACCTTAGAAAAAATTCAAAGAAATAGAATCATCGTTTCCTGCAGAAGCCATACAGCCATGTTAAAACAATGCATGGCATAATATATCTGCAGGGAAAAAGTCCTCATCAGATGATGTTCAGAGTAAAGGATGGACAGGACAGTAAAAAGACTGAAAGGTAAGTTTGCCATTCTAGGATATTTCTAACAAAATATTTTCAGAAGCAATGCTGTTTATGCATGTTTAATAAAAGGACAGCTTAGAAAGTTAGGTATATCACTGTTTGGATTTTTAGTTTTGCAAGCGTAATGAGTTTCAGCCCAATACAGTATGCACCTCTATCACTTCACATTTGCGATTAAATAGAAAATTTCTAGGATAGCTCTCCCATCCAGTTCTCATTTTACATTTGAAGGGTCTGTTCAGTTTCTTTTGTTGGATTTTGAACGCATATGTAAAAAGATATTTAAAAATTTGGAGGCTGTGATTTGCCAAACTTAAGAAACCAGCAGCTACACAAATTTGCACTATCTCTTGGGTGCAGCTACCATTACTATGCATGGAGATTTTTTTATATGCTATCATTTTTAATAACCTACCTTTCTCTGTTCATTAGTACTGCAAAAATGTATTGTTTGAAAGCAAAGAACCAAAAAACTTTTAAGAAACTCCAAGTGCATCAGCATTAGGAACTTTATCACCATGTTGTAAATAAAGAAATCTCACATTCTGTACACTGACACTCTTGTACTGGGGACACTCTCTTATGAAAAGGTAGACTATGGATAATATTCAATATGCAATACTTGGAGAAGGCTATCATTCATTCTTTATTATAAAGTAGTAATACCTTGCAATTCCACAGCTGAACACCGTTCATCCCTAAGGAGTCCAAAGCAATTAACTAACTTGCCATCTACAAGAATTATTTCTGTGCCTCTGAAATCCAATCAGTTTTTTGAATGTAAGGCAGCAGCTGTTTAATCTTGAAAGGCAACCACGTTAAAAAATGAGACCATATGAGGAATAAGCATGTTTAATCAAAACCAGAGGGCAAATGTAGTCAGAACATATTCAAAGAGAATTTTGGCAGAGATGGGTGGGGGGAGAGTGGGGAGAAGAAAAGCTACACAAAGAACAGTCTATTACACCTCTCTCTCTTACATTCATGAAGCATTTTTGGCTTGTGGGACATGATGCCTGTGTGGTACCTCTCCATTTCTCCTTCTTTCTGTACGAGGAGGATTATAGAGTCAGAAAATGCTTGTGGTGTGGGGATGCTCAGTGTCTACGAAGAGAGACTGGACAGATTTCCAGGGGATTGAAGACAACAGAGATGTGAAGTAGCTGATGCTCAGCTATGGAGTAGCTTCCAGCCTTGAATCATGCTAATGTCATGAGAGCCTGACTTTAACGTAGAGGTGTCTAGTTTACCCACCACACCTGCTGATCCTTGAAACTGCATACACACCAAGGGCCTTGAGCTGGGCGCTAAGATTCCCCCAGTGAAGGAGGTGAAGGAACTGGATCCATTTCACTATTGAGAGCCTCGCCAGGCTGCTCCTACTGCTCATGCAGAAGCAGGAACTCTCAGCCTAAACTCCTGGGGATGTCAGCAGCAGAAGAGGCAGCACAGGCAGATCAACCACCGTTTCATAAACTAGGGTCCAGGGTACACATCCTTCTCTCACAGCCTTCCCTACAGGTGTCCAGCATAAACTCTTCTCTGTTGGACACACTTGAACAGTCCAACTTGGTTAAGAATTTCTCAAGGAGCAGTGACTTATAGGATAATGCCGTCTGAATGCTTCACAAAACTGATGAGGTTTCTGTGGCCCTCAGCAGCATTCATTTGAAGAGAACTATTTTCCTGCCACCTCGTCTTCCAGGTTGTTCCAGTCTCCCTAGCCTTTCAAAAGTCCAAAGCTCTGGGGCACTAAAACAAAATCTGAAAACACAAAAATTTCTTTCCAATGAGAAGCTCCAGAACCTAAGCTACCCCTACTGCTATTATTTTTAAATTATGTTTTGCCACATTAACAAAATGACTCAAAGTTTCTTCTTGTGAGCTTCGAAATTGAGCAATGAAATCCAGCACTGAAATCTAACTCTTTATTCTGAACAGTGAAAGACTTACAGCGTAAAGGATATTTTTCACTTCAGAGTTCACTGTAATTTTTAGTATCCAAATCCACTCAAAGCCATTATCTGGTAACCTACACCTGGATGATGAATGCTTCTTGTTACTGACTTGCCAACCTCTCTCCCTGGGAGACCAGAAAACCCTAGAGGATGGGCTCTTATATTAGTGGCTCTCTTCCCCCGAGTGTTTTAAATCAATGATTTGAATTCTCAAGCTACAATAGACTGTAGTACACTAGTATAATGAAGAACAAAGGGAAATCTCTTCTTTGCTCGCTCGCTCTGCTGAAATTTTGCAGAATTAGGTCGTTTTATATTAGCACAACACACAAAAATAATTCTCCTGGAATGATTAAAGATGGAAGAGATTTTTATTAAGGGCCAAGTATGGCTTTGAGTAATACAAATTACTATTATTTATTCATAGTTAGAATAGGAGAAATGTGTTCTATAGTTTTATAAGAATTTTAAGGTGAATGCTATGTTTATTGGATTAGCTGGTTTAAAATGGAGAAGACATGAGCTCAAATGATAATACTACCTATTATCTAAAAACTTGGTATTGAAGTGCTGAATTATAAGAAGACTTTCCTTTTCAAAGCTGATTCTAGACGTAACAGCAGTAGCAAAGCCCTGTGGATAGATGAGATTTAGCATCCTAATTTTCAGCTGGTAAACTGAGGCATGGAGTGACAAGGTCTTGCTCAGGCCACGCAGTGGGTTCATGTGCGAAGTTAAATTAAAATCCAGGTAGCCCTGACTTCTGTGCTCAAACCATTGGCTTTCATTGAATATGCTACAATACTCAGGCCCCTGCATGAGTTAAATTCCAGGACATGCCACAGCCCTGGCTGTGAACTGCAGTGGGACATGGCAACTACTCTCTCCTCCAACTACTGCAACTCACTACTGAGAATAAGAAATATGGGATACACTGGAGGAATGTAGGAGATATCACAGGTCTGGAAGGTCGATGAGGTTTAGACTTACAGTCCAGATCTCCAATCCAGCATGACAGTTTTGAGAACGCTACATAAAACATACACAGGCATCATCTTTATAAATCACCAGAAACGCTTTTCTTTTGAGATCAGGTAAGTGATACACTAGAGTCTTCTGGGGACTCTAGCATTGTGTACATTAAACCTCTTAGGCAACTTTGATGGAGGCCCATCTCTACAGACAACTATCCTTGTCTGATATTCAGCTCCAAGCTACCGGCTTTCAGTTGTGTTGTGGTGGGCTTGGGCTAACAAGTAGCGGTGCTGATCACAAGTTAACAGCACGCTGCAGTAACCAAGTCACAATGCTTGGAGTCAATCCAAAATCCAAATTCTCTTCAACTATGCAAAGAATGTTGTATATTTTTTCAGTTTGTCAAGATTTATGTCCTTCAATGAGAAACAATTGCACAAATAAATGAGTATTAGATTGTGTTTGAAGTACATTTTTTCAGACTGAAAGAACTTTTTTCCTTGGCATTTCTAATAATATATTTGCCAAAGCTTCTGTTGTTTTCTGTTTTCAAAGGCAAGCTCTCCTGTGATAGAGCAAACTTAGATGAAGGGGGTGGGGGAAGCTGTCCATTAAACAGCGAGGATTTCATGGCAGTAGAAAAGCATGTTTCAAAAACCAGTGCTGAGGAAATTCCATTAAACTTCCTATGGTGGGATCGGGGGATGGGAAGGATCAATGCCCTATCACGAGTTGAAGAGGCAAGTAGTGATGTTCCACAGACAGCAAAGCCTCAGGATTCCAGCTGCTCATAACTGCTAAACACAGAATAACATAGAAGTCGGGCACAAATTTTTTTTGTGGATAAGTGTAATGCATTTACTGTACTGCTCTTTGTGGGATTCTCCTTGCAAACATTCAAGGGACTGCTAATTTATTTGTGAAAATGAGGGCAACTTATAAATTTAGCATGACTAATATTCATTTGACAAAAATCTGTGCCCCCTAGGCAGGAGATTTCTTATTCAGCACGTGCTGTTCATTTCAGATCATTTACTTTTTGAGATGGGACTATATTTTGACAGAGGCTGACTGATGCACTTCAGAACTACAATAACAGTAATATTAAAATTATTCCTGTTGCAAATATTTCAGTCATGAAATTACGGAGTGACTGGAAGGACTAATTAGGGATTACAATTAATCACTAGTAAATAGTCCATGTGCAAGGTTTGCTTGTTTATTCTGTCTCTTTAGTGAGTATTAATAAATTATTATTACATTAACAGAAAACAGAATCAAAGAACTTTAAATCCCTCATTTCACAGCTAACATATTACCACTGTGAGTTTTGGCATTTTAACAGAAGTGCCTTGAACTGACAGAAATAAAGTAGAAGAGCCATACTAGTCAATCTCTTCCCTCAAACTCTCATCTTGATAATGTGGAAAATTAAAAATACCTGAACAATGGCAGTTCCCACCAACTTACACGAAAGTGATCTCCAAGTGCTTTGCAAATCACAATTAAAAAAAAAAAACCCCACAAAGTGTATCACCTTTTAACTGCCTCCCTTTATCCAACAACTCTCCATGAGGATAATCGTATTAACCTGACAGTCCGGTCTCTGGGACTGGATGCATAGAGGAATAATTTTGAGGGACCATGGTGCTTTAAATATTACTTCTGGCCATTCAGACAAACACAGATTGGTCTCCTGGGAGACAAGACAACAGTGAGACAGTGAAGTTTGTGTGAACCACAGGAAAAATTTTCCCATATAATGAACCTCTGGATCTTTTCCAGCAATTCTGCTTTTGTAGTTTCGGACCCAAGTTTTTATCCTGCTCCTGCATTCTGCCAGTGTTCAAAGGGAGAAAAAGATGGGCCTGGAGCCACTGGCAGTAAACAAGGATCTCAGAACAAAGAGTTTGCACCAATCCGACTACCAAGTCCAAACGGAATTAGAATAATCCCAGGACTGTGATGGCATTTAGTGAGGTGGGAATCTGGAGATTACAGTAATGTTGCAAGAGCATGAACATAAAGCACAGTATTTTTTTGAAAATGGTTTCTACAAAGTAAAACTGATACTTGATCCGGTAATGCAGGACATATTCATTATCACTTAGACAATGATGTACTGAAATATCTGTGTTCTTATCAGTCTTTTAACTCACATTTGAATCTACCTCACATATAAGGGTGTTTGAACTGTGTTTAAACTTGATGGCAGGTCTCTCCCAAGACAGTAGTGCCCATTACTTTCTCCTCCAGCACACCAACACTGAGGTGCCTGCAAACTCAAGAAACGTATGGTGCCTGCTAAAACAACATCTCCAGCTCTCAGCTCACTTCCAGACTCTCTCAAGGGCTTCATGGGAATAGAAAGGGATTGGGCTGTGAACTGGATGAAATGGTCTGAGTCTCTGAGTCTCCTCTTTTCTCGAGACCTATCAGAAACAGGCAGGAACTTACTTGCATTTGTGTGTGTGAGCTGTGAATCCAAAGCTCCCAGGCAGTGCAGGACGGTCACAGCTAGAGAAGGGACACTGCAACTTAGAGATTGCCCTTGCTACTTAGAATAAGCTACGTGGTCTGCCCAGTTAGGTAAGTCAGAGCTACAGAAGCTGGAGCTCTATAGCAAAGTAGCTCAAGAATTAGTATTTATGCAGTGAAGAAAAGTCTAGCTACAGGTGCAATTCCCCATTTCAATGCTACTCTATTATAATTTTCCTTCTCATTCTCCTCTAGTATAAAACAACATCAGTTTCACAGAAACGTCAAGGTTTACATTAACATGTTTCTTACCAGAAGACTCTTTCC